CAAAAAGCAAAGATCACTTGTAAGGTATGAGAAAAGTAGAAAAGGCATTGACATTGGTGAGAGATTAAATGTGGAAAGAAACCTGCATAAGGGAGAGCTGAAATCGAAACTTTGCAACGAGATAAGAGTAATCGTGAGCGATATTGCTATGAGCTGTATATTTATATTCCTCAATCAATGAGTGTTCTTGACCGAATCTTCTTGAAACGATCTCTGTTTTGATTACTTGAAGATAGTGTTCGATCTATATTTTTCGACGATATAAGAGAAACCTCGAGTAGGAAAGTACTTCATTTGAAATTTGTAGGACTTACACTAAGATTAGCAGCAAAGTGTCCACGATTTATGAACCATTTTTCATTCAGCGTGTCATGGCTAATGTTACAGTGACGTGTCCACGGATCAGAAACAAAGCAACAAGCTAACAAAGTAGCTAGCTGCTCTTCAGTGACCTATAACACCTAAAGACACGCACGCAAAGAAAAAAATAAAGAACTTCTAAGTCTGAGAACAATCATAATTTAAAGGAAATGTACAAACTTTGAGCTTGCTGATCGAATGAGATCGGAGACGTAGACGATTCTTCCAGAGACATCTTCTCGCTAAGCCCTGCTTGTCCGATCATTCATCCTTGACCAAAGCTTTTCTTCTACGTCACACAATGAAACGAATTGTATGGATAAATATATCTAATTTTGAAGATCCACAACGAAATGAACACAAAAGCCTTCCCAAGAGTGTCTTATACTAAGAAACTAAGAACAACTAAACACCTAAATCGAATGGAGAGAGGTTTGAATCGTTGAAGATGATAACGTGATCGTGAAAAAAATGACTACGGAGAGAGAAGGGTAATGTTGTGATCGACGGAAAGAAGAAACACGATTGAAGCTCTAGGATTAATGAAACATGCAACTAATGCAGACACCAAAAATCGAGTTTTTAACAAGACAAATTATAGACTGTACCATCTGGACAAGAAGGCGATTGTTACGAGAGAGATGTGCATGATTCTTATTTGTTTCTACAAGCTTTGTCGAACCGGCAAGCAAATTCCTCTCACAGATACTCGTACAAAGGGTCAAAATCTTCAAATTGAATTTGATTATATCAGCTATTTGGTTACCTTTGATCGAACAAACATAAAGTGAAGGAAAATTGATGAATCGTACTTTGACGATCTCACAAGCTTAGCCATTTTGTCCTCGATGAAGTTGAGAACCATCTTCTCTATTCTCGAGACACGTTTTGAGAGCGGTTCGTAGGCGAGTGTATTTTTGGCGGAAGAGTTTTTACTAAAGCAATTAGGATTAATATTCCACAATTAATAATTCCACAAGAAATTGTAAAGACAACGTGAGAAGATGAAAGCTGAAATGAAGGCTCTTTAGCTACAGAGGATAAATGGGACGTTGTAGAAGTGCAAAAGGATATTTTTTTGGAGAAATTGCAAAAATACCATTTTTTATGTGCATATTTGCAAAAACGACACTTAAGGGTGTTCATTTGCAAAAATGTCACT